GCTCCAATTGCAAATATACATTATAGTGCTCCGTAGCAATGGGAGTCCTGCATCTCATGGACTTGTTTTGTTCCTGTTGAAACAAATCCAGAGTTTTATGCAATGTGGCATCTACCAAAGCTCTGCACGGCAGGAACCTAACCCCTTTCAGCACGTTGTTGTAACTCTCCAACATATTCGTTGTCAATGTGCTCCATCTGCGTCCTCCATTATCTTTTAACTGGGTCCACTTCTCCAAAGGAATTCGAAAAAGGTAATTGTGTGCCTCGGGATTCAATGCCAACAGTCGTTGTTCTGCCTCTCGAAACTTTCGCTCCGACAACTGTGAACCCAATTCCTAACACCAAGTCCAAATTTTCTTACTCCTGAAATTAGTCTTCACGTTGCTTCGAAGGTGTCGAAGGCAAATCCGGTGATACGCAGCGGGTTCTTGCCAATCTGTTAATGATTCAATGGCACTGAGTAGGCCCGCATCTCTGTCAGAAAGAACGCAGATACGTCTCTGGAAGACTACATGTTGCCGCAGATTCCTAAGGAAAAATGACCAACTGTCCGTGCTTTCTTCATTGACAAGCGCATACGCGACCGGCAATAACCGCTTATTCGCAGTCTGTGCTACGGCTACAAGCAATTTTCCCTTGTAGGATCCACGCAAATGTGTGCCATCGACGCTAATAACCGGCGGGCACCTTCGTAAAGTCTGAATGGCGGGACCAAACACCCAAAATACAAATTTGAATTGTTTGTCTCGAAGGTGTCGCGCCATTTCTCCACCCTGCCATTCCCACTCTACAACTGTGGAAGGATTCGTTCTTTGAAGAGCGGCAAAATACCTACACATTACAAAACAGTTTCATAATAAATAGATAAACATAGCGAAATACATTAAATAAATATACTATATTTGTAATTAATTTTTGCTTACTGAGGGAGTTCTGCGAAGTTCGATTCCCAAGTGCCATACACACTCTCGATGGCTTTTCTCCTTCCGTGTCATGCTTCTTGTAGCTGACATCCACTTTCCAGCACTGTTTCACATCAGCCTGGATCATGTCGACGTCGTACTCCAATTTCTTTCGAATCTTATTACGAATGAGATTTGAAATCATTTGGGCGGTTACATTTCTGTGGTCATTTCTCTCGACCGGTTGCATACAAGTGTGACTATCAGTCCATTCCGTTAGTTCCCACAATTCATGAACCCGTTTGGACTTAGTCACCCGAGCCTTCCACAGACAAGGCGGATCTTCACTAGATCTGCAGACCACTTTGTATGACTTTTGATTCGAATCATTTATCCGAATCTCCCACAACCTATCGACGTTCCAAGCCATCAGAGCCATTTGGACTTCTTGCTCCGAAAAACTATACCCAAACGTATGGTTTCAATGTCGCCATTCCAGCGTGGAATAGCATACTCATCCTCATCTATCCTGGACGGGTCCCATCTCTCGGTATACGTGCCGACCACCACTAGGAAAGGGGAATTCTTCTTCAATGAACTCGGCTTCACTCTCCTCATTCACCGATTTATCTGATTCGGTTTTTTAGGTCTCGTCTGTGAAATCATCTTCACCGAGTACGAACTCTTCGTCACTTTCTTCCCCGTCCTCATTTGCCCTTTCTCTAATTGGTGAGCTTGTCCCTTCTCCAAAATTACGTAGATGAGAAGTCGACGTGCCCTCATCTATTCCCCCGTAATAAGGAGTAAAATCCTCAAATTGTGTGAGCGGTGTAATTGCTTCCAACGATAAATGCAAATACACAACAGACATAGGAGGAGATAAATAAATCCACTCAAGAGCACTATCGTTATCGAGTCTTCCGGCAGTCCACGAACCATCGCGTTGACGAAACATTAAAGTAATCGCTTGAATTGTCCAACCTTCTCCAAAACGACAATTTTCATTAATCATCTGTACCAATTATTCATATGATATCCTCCCCGTAATAACAAATGAACCATCCGGACTATCCATAAATGAAACGAAATCTCTTAATTGTTCCTTCGCACATCGCCAATACAAATTAACAAAATACGGTCCACAATATGCCATTTGTACCTGTTGCAAAAAATAAACTTTCAATTCTTCCAAATTACAACAACACATAATGTCTAATACAACACCCAAAAAATTCAATTATTCTTTAAATCCATTTTTACTCCAAAAAAAAAATATTCCCAATCGATTAATCCTCCAAAACCATAATACCCATAATTCAACAATAACATACAATTCATCTATATTTCGAATAAATCAAAAACCCTAATTCTAACCCTAACTTCGAAAACCCTAGACCCAACAATAACAAACCCATACACAATTGATAATTTACAAAAAGAAATTCAATCCTCAATTCAACATACACACATAATCGATAAACAATTAACAATTCCCAATTTTCAAACATCACCACATTCAAACATACAATAACAATTACAATCCCCCAACAAGTCTAAACAATACCAAAAATTGAGATAAGCCAATATACCTCGTGCGAATTAATTAACCGGAAATGAGGTTCGTGTTGTTGTTGTCGGTTCGCGTAGGGGTGGCGATTGGATCGAGTTTTTTTTTTTCCGCCTCTGCGCTTCAGAATAGAGGAAAGAATGGATGGATCCCGCAAATGGAGAATGGAGAAGAAGATAATAACATTATTTTATATTTATTTGTAAAACGTATTACCAGAATACGTTTTATAACTATTTAATTGTAAAACGTATTTTCAATATACGTTTTATATTTTTCTTTTTTTTAAAAAAAAATGGTGCGCTTTATAAAAAACGCATTCGTATAAGATTTTCTTTTTTTTAAATTAAAATATACAACGTATTTCCAAAATACATTTTTTGAAACCCTAAAATCAATTTGGGGGTTATATAAAACGTATTTTCGAAACACGGTGTATAAGTATTATTTTTTATTCAATTCCTTTTTCTTTTAAATGGAACTATTTAGTTTTATTTTCCAAATATAATTATAAAACGTATTTCGAGAATATGTTTTTCTAATAAAATTTTATTTGGAAAACGTATTACGGGAATCCGTCCTTTTGATTTTTTTCTACTCCCTTTTTTTTTTGTCCACTTCATTTTTTTCTTTTTGAAATAAATAAACTACTCTAATTTTCTCTTATAAATTATAATCACGAGCCTCGAACACGGAGAACCCGACCCGAGGGGCTATTTCTCCTAGGTCGTTTAAATAAAGCTCCGCAGGCTATCTATGAAAGTCCACAATCGATTATTTATGGCGTGATTGTATATAATTTGTACATTAAATATCTCACTCAAAATTCAAATTTAACTTAACTTTAACTCAACTCTAGTGTCTCCAATATTATTAATATAATTAAATAATATCAACCAATCATTCTTATACGTCACATCAACTTTCATTCACTATTCACCACTCACATAATTTTAACTAACTATCACTTCCAATCATTTTCTCCTACTTTTAAATCAAATCAACTTTAATTATTTTAATTTAAATATTATTTTAATATATCCACTAACAACTAACTATACTATTTTTTTCAAACTTAACTATAATTAAAAAAAAATTAATTTTTTACNAAAAAAATAGATGGACTTCATCAAATCGTCTAAAGAACATCTCAAATAATTTTAGAATTGCTCTAATTTGTTGCCACATGTCATAAACAATTATGACATAGAAAATGTCTTCAAGAATTTATAAATTGTTGAAACCCAATTTGCCACTGGTTAATCAAATAATAAATAAAATAATAAAGTATGACCTAATAATTTTTAATTATATTGGTCATCAATTTCATTCAAGAAATTCGACTCATATATATTTGGTAGGTTGATTGTCCTATTTTTCACATCAACATAAATGTAGAAGTCGTTCTAAACAATATATACTATATATTATATATTTAATCTCTATTCTCTAACTAATTACAATTTAACATATTTTAAATTATAGGGATGCGCTTCGGTGAGAATGGTTCTCAGTGAAAGAAATAAGAATAAATTGTGGTCATTAGATCGGATAATCTAATTGCTTAAAAAAAATCAAAATTATATATTCATTAAGAGTAAGATGGTAATTTTATACATCACACCCAAAGATGTGGACCCCACTCTGCATTAATACCTGCCAACCACTCTCACACACTTACCCGTCTCTCTCACACACTAACTCACATACGCACACCAACACGCACGCTCAGCAACAGACACACACAATTCGCACACACACGCACACAGTCCACAATCACATTCACCACTGCTGTCGGCGGCCCTCCACCATCGCAGCCCTCTCCCCTGCCCGTCGGAATCTTCTCCAGCACCGCTACCACCGCCGCCAGCTCCTCCACCATTACGCTGGAGTCTTCCTGCTGCCGCCACTCCGATGAATCCACCATCGGAATCGACGCCTCTTGCCTCGGCGCGCACAGGCTTCCACCGCCTTCAACGGAAACCTCCCGCCAGAGCTATTCTTCGTCACGTCGGCCTCTTCCTTCCACCAGCGCCAGAGCTCCGACAGCCCTAGCTGTCTACAGCGCCTAGCCGGATAGAGGTGCAGCTCCGGCCGGTCGCTGACGAGTCAGTGATGAAATGGCCATAGGTGCTGCAAAACTGGACCTTCAAATTAATTTGGAGATCTAGAAAAAAATAATGTTATTGCCCATCCACCCACAAGGTTAAAATCATCTAAATTGATAATGCCCCTGCCCCTGTTTTAGTGATGCCACTTAAACAAAACTTCACTTATATAAGTGGAGCTCAATATCCCACTTAAAAGAAAATCTTGATTATATATAGGGAAAATAGGGAAAAATAATAACACGAAGATAAATATAAAATAGAGATTTTGAATTGAAAAAACGGATGGAAATAAATCGGAATGAAATTAGGAAACTGAACGCAAAATATATGAGGGGAAAACACTTCTATATAAATCCGAATTAGGCACAATCAATCAGACGATACCTAATCCTTCCTCACGCACAAATACATACTTTCTATGGATTGTCACGAACCGGTGGATGATTATTGCCATGCACTTCAGGCTGATCATCTCCAAATCCCACCGAATTCGAGTGATTCGGATCAGTTCTTCATAGCCATTGAAGTGGAAGTGACGCAGCCCTCAGTGGAATCAGATTCAGAAGACGACGATGGCGGCGCTCCTCCTGATTTACGAGTTTACCACTTGGAGACGTTGGGATTGTGGGTCCCATGCCCGAGGACGGAGCGCGGGAACTTGCCGGCGTCGGAGATTTCGGGGATGCTGTCGAGGGCCGGAGTGCCTCTGCACAAGCACAAGTACATGACGGGCCAGATATCCTTGCGGGCCGACGAGATTGCCAACGCGGCTCGCAATAAGGGAACACGAGTCCTGCCTATGCAGGTCTTCATCAGCATCGTTGCTTGTTCCTGTTATGGAGAGGCGGTTGTCGATCCATAGCCGATTACTAAATTTTCGAATTCCCTTTTCTTTTTCACTAATTCTTCTTTGTCTACGTTAATTTCGAGGTTTTTTTTTTTTTTTTTTTTNTTGTTCTTGTCATTTTGTGCAGTTTTCCTAGGGATTTGTTGGCTTTGGAAGTGTTATATTAATCAGCATGTTTTGAATGAAAATTATGATGTCCCTGTCGTCCTTTTCCCCGTCTTTGTTGTTCAATTGGATACTCATTCTTGATCTCTCGTGTAATGGCGTTGGTTGATTCTTGGTCTTCAACAATGGAATTTCCTTTGCTAAATGGGTCAAAATAGCCATTCTTCTAAAATTACACATTTTTTTTGCAAACATATATTTTAGGATCAAAATAGCCATTTTCTGAAACTTATACAATTTTTATAGCCTTTTTTTATTTGTAAGGGTATATCTTTTAGCTGATGGAAATGACCCTATTTCATCACAACTTTAACATGATCCAGATTGGAATTTACATATTTTTATATTCAAATCTAATACTTAAGAAACTACTAAGTTAAGTAAACATTTTATAGAAAAATGCTCCCCTAAACATAAGCGGTGGACATATTAACAGGTGTCCACCGTAGGTAGGGGAGCATTTCCGACATTTTATAATATATAGAGGTAAAAAGAGTTTTTCGGTCCCTTATTTAACCGTCATTTTTAATGTGGTCTTGTAAAATGTCCACTTTTGATTAGTCTTAAATTGGGAAAAAATTAAAATTTTTGTCGTCTGACCGTCTAAAATCGGTAAATGTCATCGGGATGCTTACGTGATTTTTTTTATTTAATTTTTATTTATTTTTTCAAATAAATAAGTACATAAAATAAAATAGTATTTTATTGTCCTCTGTCTGATAATATAATTTTTTTTAGAATCATAATGAGACTTACTCTTTTATAATCTAGTAAATTACTGTTGTCGTATGGATTTGTAACAACATGGGGGGAGTTAAGAATTGTGTGTATATATCGAATATTTTGTGTATTTTCTGTAAATAAATCAAGAAAAATTGAAGGGAAATCAAGAAATGAATCTCTGTTTCTTTTCTTAGGAAGAAGGAAAGGAAAAAGTTCAGAGCACCGCCTCTTTTCTTAGGATTAGAGAGAGAAGAAAAAGTAAAGCCCCCTCAGACTTATCTGTCCGATGTCCATCATCGGGTATATATATATATATATATATATATATATATATATATGGATTGGTTCCAATGCATCCACTTATTTAAAGTGAGTACGTGAGACTCATTTTTAACTACAAGATTTGGTACATCATGAGTGGCCAAGATTTACTCTTTTCTTTTTATTATTTTAATTATTTAAATATTATTTTGACCCGTTGACTCCGGCATTGACCGTTAACTTCTGGCGTTGACTTCCGGTGAAATCCGTTGACTTTCGGCATTGACCGTTGACTTCCGGCGTTGACCATGACAACTAACCTTCCAACCAGGTTAGTTCTCTGTAGTTGCTAGGTTAGTTCTATGTAGTTGCTAGGCTAGTTCTTTGTAGTTGCTAGGTTAGTTGTCTGTAGTTGCTAGGTTAGTTCTCTATAGTTGCTAGGTTAGTAGTCGCTAGGTTAGTTCTCTCTAGTTGCTAGGTTAGTTCTCTGTAGTTGCTAGGTTGCTAGGTTAGTTTAATGTAGTTGCTAGGTTAGTTCTCTGTAGTTGCTAGGTTAGTTCTCTGTAGTTGATTTGTTAATTATTTGTGGTTGCTAGGTCAGTTCTCTGTAGTTGCTAGATTAGTTCTCTGTAGTTGCTAAGTTAGTAGTTCCACAATATATATATATATAATATATATATATATATATATATATATATATATATAGGGATGAGTTCCGGTGAGAAAGGTTGTTAACGAGAGAAATAAGAAAACATAATAACCACAGGATTAAACTAATTGGACAGGCCTGATCACGTACCAACGCATAACTAGCCAGGGCAGTTTAGTAACTTAACATCAATTAAGACACTCAATACAACCCTGTTTCCCAAAGCTCGTGAATTAAATTGGGGGAAAAAAACCCAAGGCTCATTATCGAATTTGTGGAAAAAAAATTCCAGATCTCAATCTCGACCTACAATCGATATTATAGCTCCCACGATTGTCCGCGCTGGTAACGATCAATTTATTGTGATTGATCATGCAATCCTTCATACAACCTCCTGGAATCGCTCGTTGAGCTCGTGAGTGGATTATAGTGTTGAAATTCTTCAAGTCGAGCTTCGACTCTATCGCCATCGTCAGAAACAACGATCGTCTCCCGAATTTTGCGACTTCTGATACACAAATTGATTGCTTAATATGGACTCGGCTGACTCACAACCAGGTATGTTTTAATTCTATATATTTTATTTATAAAAAAAATTGATTATGAATCAGATTTCTTGCGCTGCTAACTAAACTGCATAAGTTTTTATTTGGATTATAGTGCCCAAGAATATTCTCGTATATGTGATTACAATATTCTCATGAATATGTACATGTTGATATAAAGTGCATGAAGTATGAAATACAGTGCATGATACTGACTTAAATGTGCACCTTATTTTTTTTCTTTTTTTTTTTTTTTTTTTTTNNNAATATGTGATCAATTTCCATAAAATGCTACAGTAGCAACACCGTCGGGACCATCACAGCACCAACAACTCGTGATAACACCTGGTGGTACTAAATATTGGATTCCCCAGTGTGAAGACTCGATTCGGCCTCGCAAAGGACAGGTTTTTAGAACATTAACTGAGGCCGTTGATTTCTACCGAACATATGCCTCTGCAGTTGGTTTTGACGTTAGACAAAGCACATTGGTAAAAGCGATGGATAAGACCATTCTTTGGAGATATTTGGTGTGCTCGCGTGAAGGGTACAAACACCATTCGAAAACTGGCCAAAGAACACCCAACGAAAGTCGTGTAATAAGACGTAGAGTATCCAACCGGGTTGGATGTAATGCCCGCATTGTGCTTCGTGTTTATGGAGTTGAGGGCTACGTAGTTAGATTTTTCGAGGAAAGGCACAACCATACCATGACCCCGGAAGAGTGCAGAGCACACTTGAAGATCAACAGAACAATGACTGCAGCACATCAAGGCTTTGTTCTCAACTGCATAAAAGCAAATATTGGGCCCACAAAGTCGTACAAGCTGTACAAAGAAGTTGTTGGGGGATATTCGAATATTGGTGCCACCAATGTAGACTTTAAAAACTTCAAAAGAGAACTCCTTGCGTACATTTTAGGAGCCGATGCTCAAATGGTGATAGATAAGTTTTATAAACGGCAGGAGAATAGTTCTGCTTTCTATTTTCAGTACGAACTGGATGATAACGACTGTTTACGGGGTCTTTTCTGGGCTGATCCAATATCGAGGCGAAACTATGGCTCCTTCGGGGATGTTGTGTCCTTTGACGCCACGTATCGCACCAACAGGTAAATGATTTTCATGTGTTCATTTACATTAAAAAAATTGCACAACTACAATATGTTGATGCTAATAATAATTTTTTTTTAAGGTACAATATGGTGTTTGCACCTTTCACCGGGATAGACAACCACAACAAATGCATAACCTTTGCAGCCGCTCTGATATCAAAAGAAGACGTGAATTCGTATGTGTGGGTATTTGAGAACTTCAAGAATGCCATGATTCGAGAGCCAAACTATATAATCACTGACCAAGATCCTTCTATCAGAATCGCCTTCTCCAAGGTATTCACTACTAGTAAACACCGATTTTGCATGTGGCACATTATGAATAAGTTATGTGATAAGGTCGGGCACTCTTTAACTAATGATACCAATTTCAAAAGGAGGTTAAATGAAATTGTTTGGTCTCGTCGTATAGAGCCTGCTGACTTTGAATCCAAATGGGCTGAAATAATGCACGACTATTCATTGGAAACCCATAATTGGTTTATTGATCTGTTTGCTAAGAGAGAGCATTGGATACCGGCATATTTTAGAGATGTAAGTATGAGTGGGCTGATGAGGACCACGTCTAGGTCAGAAAGTGAGAACAATTGGTTTAGTAGCTTCACAAACAATCGCTCTAGTTTGGTCGAGTTCTTATTACATTTTGACAGTGCAATGGATGCGCAACGGAACACGTCAACGAAGCTACAATATGACAGTGAAACGCATACAGCCAAGTTAAAAACGACTCTGTCCATTGAGAAGTCTGCCTTAGATTTGTACACGACAACGATATTCTATCGTGTGCAAACTGAAATATGTGACGCGTGTTACAAATGTCGGGTTATGCAAATTACTGAAAATGATGGTCACACCACATTTATGATCAAAGATAGTGACGATAAAACCTTTACAGTTATTCACGCTGTTGGTCTTAATACGTCACAATGCTCGTGTAAACACTTTGAGATTTATGGATGGTTGTGTCGGCACATCTTTGTTGTTTATAGATACCTGAACATTGAGATTATTCCAACAGCATACATCATGTCGAGGTGGACGAAACTCGCATTTAGTAATCCTATGTTCAGCATAGTCGATAATATCTCCGATCAATGCGCACGACAAGATGAAACTAAGTTGCTGTTTAATAAGTTGTGGTCTGATATTCACGTGTGCATGGGATTGGCTGAGACAAACATGGACCGACTCATTGAGTTCTCCAATATTGTTGGAGAATACAAGAGTAAACTCCTGGCACATCAGAATAGTGATTCGGCAAGTACAGGCGTTGACAAAGCACAGAGGTTTGATTCGTTTGTTGGCATGCCAGCGCCACAATCAGTAAGCATTCACCCTCCGCCACAATCGAAAAACAAAGGTAGTGGAAAAAGAATGAAATCCGACAAGGAGAAATCGATTGTAAACTCACAGAAAAAACGAAGAATTTGCAAGTCATGTGGTGAGAGAGCAGGACACAATACACGGACTTGCCCTAAAAAACTATTACCAAAGGTAAACACGATCCTAATGTAACATTCAATGTGAGCGTGTATATATAAATCTTACATCTATGCTCGTGACAAAATTTTTTTATATATATTATGATTGTTGCAGGACAATTGCTGATTGCCTGAAAGTCGCGTCCAGGCTTTGGAACATTCAGGTATCATTATTCAGTGTTACATGTTGGAATAATGTTAGACAGCCGTTATTTGCACACTCGCACATCTCATTGTATACGATCATCAATTTTGTATAATAATTCGTATAAATCTACAAATGCAGGCACCAAGAGTGCTAGAAAACACAATTGCACGTGGAAGGACGACACCTTTATTTCGTTTATATAACACATTATAGCTTGGTTATTTCCATATTCGATGTCGATCTTTACAAACATTGTTTATGTGTTGTCATCGCAAATATTTGGTTTGAAACATTTCTAAGAGGTACCACGTTGTTATTACACGTGTTATTTTTATTTATCTAATGTCGACATGGTTTCAGGTTGCGTGCACAACAATACACATGAGTTGCACATTACTTATAAACAATATGCACATTATACATATTGTGCAATTATTGTGATGATTTATCTAATATGGACATGGTTTCAGGTTGCATGCACAACAATACACGTGAGTTGCACATTACACATAGACAACATGAAGTGCACATTACACATAAACAGCCTGCACAATAATATTTGCATGTTTTTGTGTTGCGTGCACAATAATACACATGGAGTGCACATTACACATAAACAGCCTGCACATTATACATAACGTGCAATTGTTGTGTTGATACATTTTTCGTCAACACACGTTTTATGTTACTGGGATGTGTATGCGGAAAAAATTTATATGAGCACTATATTGTGTGTATATGTGTGACAGCTTAAAATCGGTAAATAGCACGGACAAAGTACAATAATTAAAAAGAAAAAAAAAAGAGTATTCTCGTACGACGATGACAAATTCAGATATAAGTGATACTCAACTCGTGTTGCACACTAATATATATTACGTTGCACGATACACATACCGTAATTGCACTCAACATCGATATAATATACTACAAACAAAATTGCTAATGTCGATGCCCACGCATGACTATCACATCCCAGTATATTACAACTATAGTGAAATAATATAATAAATTCAATAACTGCATTGGTCGTGTAGTGCACAACAATGACATCTACAATGCACAATACATGTAAACCACTTGCACAATATAAATTATATGGATGTCCCAACAACCAGCATCAACATTCACCTGTTTTTTTTTTTCCTTAGATTTCCATACCATAAACTGAAATCAGGTTCCAAAACATTCACAAAAAAAAATAAAAAAAAATGATAACAATAATAATGTCACAGCAATCCAAAATCCATAGCATGTCATCAAAACAGGAAACATTAAAAATGTTCATCAGCCCAATTGTCGAGTAGATACTAATATAAGTACTAAGTCCAAAGGTCAACAGCATACGCAATTCAACAATGCACAGTAACCGATGAAATATGCTACTTCTTTGCCATAAGCGATGAATGGAATTTATTTGATGCGGTGAGATTGATTTCCTTTAGCTTGTTGTTAGGAGCACAAGCTATGACACAGCTATAGCGCTTCCTCATGAGCTTCAATTGTTCTTTATCACCCCTCTTCAACTGATGATTCCATCCTTTAGCGACGACACCTTTGAACGTCTCCATGTGGCGCATTGTGAACAATCCAATGTCTGCCTCGTCAACCCCTTCTGTCCATGCTACGTTGATGACGTCGGGAACGGCTAGCCCAACCAGTTTGGAATTCTTCACTAACTTTCTCTCGCCTAGGTACTTCGAGAGTGATTGTCGCTGTATTAAATCAAACCATAATAAAAATAAATAAATACGACACATACAATCATGTGTTATGTGTACATACAACAAGGGCATATTAAAATGTTACCAATAGAAGAGCACGTGGCATGATGGCTCTCTTAACCGCAGCATCCTTACATTTACTGGCACTGTCTATTATCGTGAACTTTTGGTGATCTGGCACCACACAAAACAATCCCGAAAATGTCCCATACGATACCGGAAATAAAAACTGCAAAGTAGAAATATGTAGATCATTGCTTATGAAATATTACCGTAGACCGGGCAGTCGAGCTGCTTGTCTCCTTTATAAGTATGAGAAAAAAAAAATGAAAGCTAAAAAATAATAACACGTCAACACAAACACGTGCTGACAAAAAGGACACTGACCACCGTAATCTGCTTCAATTCGTAATCGGACAATCGTGCAACTTCTGAATCTAGCAACTGAGCGAACTTTTTATAGCTTGCCTCCTTCTTTCGTTTGCCATCAAAAAACAACTAAACATCACAACGCCAAAAAATATAAATTACATACTCGATAAAACGATACACATTCGCATACACGCATTTTATAATAAAATTAAACATAAAAAAACCCCATATAATAAGAGGACATACCTCATCACACAGGGACGTAGACGCAAAAAAGCATGATGGTGCACCACGACTCTTAAGATTTTCATTGTAATTCAGGATGACTGACCACAAATCCAAAAGTTCCTTTGTAATCGGAGTGTTTGGCATCAAACATGACACCACAGACTTCCGTGCGGAATACTCAGTTGATTGGAATATAACAATGTTGTTGTGCGCGTCCATGACAATTCATACAAGTAGATTACAAATGTTATTCAAATGTAACAAATTGTATTGTTAAGCATTTAAGTACATCAAACGCGTGACTCAACAATAACGAGATAAAATAATTTTACCTGTCGTTAACACCATTTCTCAGAACCCAGCTAGCAATCATATCTTCTTGTCCATCAAGCTTCTTAATGACATTTATCACCCTCTCTTTAAATGGAGATTTGATTACACTGGACGCTATGACACGTCTTTTCGGCCTCGGAGACCTACGTGCATCATCGACACAAGCGGTGTCGACAACTTTATCTGAATATAAAAAAGACAAAACCAGCAAAAGAATAATCAAAACACATGCATCATTCACATGACTACATAAACAATGTCAGGTATTACCCGTATACTTGTAGGTAATGTAGTTATAGAATATGTGGTTTGCATTCCCAATTCTTTACCAACAGCCAATTTGCCAGACGAACCATCGACAGCTTTGTGTATGAACATGTAAACTGATTACTATAATGCATCTAATTTGTGCACACAAGCACGAAACATATAAATTGTTGTACGTAATGTTAATATCACATACCTAATTGAGCATCTACTACAGTAGACGTACCAGCCACATGGTGATCTCCCTTTAGTATAGGAGTCACGTCTTCCCCGCTCGTATGCTGCGGTGGTTCATCGGCAACATCATCATCTGACAAGCCCAAACTGTAGCTAGGATATTCAGTTTGCGTCCTCTTGAAACGATCTCGTTCCTCAACTGCCCTCATAATGTCATCTATAGCTGCTAATGTTTGAGGATCATTCCAAAATGCGTCGTCCGCTAGCTATGACACAACTCCAGTGGGATTATCCTTCAATGCCTCACGCTTTTTCGCAGAAACATTGCAACACGGTTGACTTGACGAATCTCCCTTGGGCACTTCATGGTACACACCAAGAAGCTTCTGTGCCGCGTCTTGCATTTTAGTAAAGTTGTCATCGTCCAATAAAACCCGTGGTGCCTTTTCTACCAGCTGCAATATCTCGATGCCGGTTGTAGCCAGAAGCCGAGTTTTAGACGCAAACTCCTGGACATAAGCCTGTGGATAAAAAATGCACATTTATATGCATCATAATGCACACATTTACATCGTGTAATGCACAATATATAATGGCAAGCCTAAAAACCTAAAGGAAGAAAAGAAGTGGTTTTTTTTTTTTTTTTTTTTTTAACGACCAGTATACTGTAAGAATCACAAACATTGTCAACAGATTATACAAAAAGATACAAATACTAAGACCAACACGGGACATTATCAAGTGTCACGGATATTTTCACAAATGGACAACCAATATGCACCTAAGTGTTCATAATAAAGCACTTTAACAATTCAAAGTGCACATCCCATACAACAACTATTTTTCTCGAATGTCATGACTATTATCAAACATTATATAGTAAAGTACATACTTGTACACTGTGTCCTTCCATAACCCCGGTAATATCCTCGTTGGATGCAAGTACAACAGTATCCGACTGACGGCTATCATCAACCACACACATTTCTTTATCAATAAAGCCTCTTCCGAATGCACCCGATCTAATCTCATCACGCTCTCTAACTCTTAACAGCTCATTGTTCCACAATTTAAATGTCGGGAAAACTCGTGCAGCCAATCGCACGGACTATACTACCCTGTCCACGTAGAACAACTGTGGAAGATAGAAAACAAGAAAGAAAAAAATGAAAAGATATATGCATGATTAAATATCATCAACAATTATATCACGTATATACAAAGTAGCAATAAAAATAAAACTAAAAAATCACATAGGAAACAAAGATTTTAGTGACTGACCGTCAAGAACAGTAATGGCCCGGTGAACTTCTGTTTACCATTAGCATCCCACGATCTCTTGGAGTCCACCAAGCATCGAATCATGTATGAACACCAGTTCATATTGCCGACATTGGATAAATCATCAAGCATGTGCACTACACGGGAGTTTGCCATTCCATTTAAGCAACTCTCAAACAAACATGTGACCATAAGCACAACAAAGTGGCGCTTGAACCAATCATCCCCATCCACACACTCATTAATCTTCTCCAAAACCTTCGATGCTGTAATGTTTGACGGTCGTCTAACATTGAACAACGCAATCCACTCGTCCAACAATGCAGATGTAGCTCTCTTCTTCTTGTTCTGGATTTCGATAACTCCACGAGGTAGCCCGAGTGCGACATACACATCATCCTCCTTGACATGTACCTTCTCACCGCCATATAATTGCAACTTTCGGTCCATGTGGTTGAAGCTATCTACTAGCCAGAACCCCATTTTAGATGGCGTTGCTGTTATGCCCAATTCCAACAAACGACCCAGCCCCATTTCACGAACAGCCTGCTTCTTCGCATTTGACAGATTAGTTATTGCCTTCACAAAAATAGATGCTGAAGACCTCGTATTTAACCTAGGAAACGTGTCATCCTCATCTCTATCGATATCAGTATCGGAACCCACATCATCCCCCTCATATTCTTCTACATTGTCATTACCAACCAGTTCAATCTTGCCCTTATCTGAAAATTAACATACATTTATGACTTACACAACTATAAGACAAAAATTTTTAGGTATATACATATAATTACAGGAGCATGTAACATAACACGTATACCATGCTGAGTGTCTGTGATCTCGTTCAGACGAGGCTGAGGGACATCGCCACCCAAACCATCACTCAAGGGATGGCTCGCTTTCCGTGAGGGCACTTTTGTACTCTTCACGCCATCACCATCAGGGTCCGTTTCCTCCCGATGTCTCTTACCCCCTAGATCTACATACAACACAACGATTTGTAGCACGAGCACATAATAAGTATAACATTAGAAAAAGGTAAACTACATTTAACAGAATAAACACGAATATATATGTGTTAACCATGAATGCGAATACAACACGGATATACTCCTTATGCATACATACAGGACATAACTTAAAGTACACAACACAAATATAAATACAAAGCCAACACCAACGCACAACATTTATTATTACCTTCTGGCACGTTATCACTCGTAGGTGTGCCGCTCTGTTGCAGTAACGCCAAGCTCGTACGACTTCGGGTAACTAACAAAGACGCGAAAATCAAGAAACAAATAAATGTGTAAAATCACTAACATCCCATACTACTAGGCTACCATTTGATAACAGTACATCATCATATTAGTATTTAAATTACATACATACACGTACCTTTACAATCACTTATAGGCTGATCGGATGTGGCTGTAGCAACACCACNAAAACAAAAAAAAAAGAAAGAAAAAAAGAAAGGACGAAAGAAGAAAAAGAAGAAGAAACAATGAAATAACCTTGGAATCATGACATACACACAGAAATATTAACGGCAAAAAATTAACACAATTGTTACAATATACATGGATCTGGATATTACCTCCTTCCAGATCGGCTTTTTCATCGGCATTGTCAGTCATCTTACATGTATTACCTATACAGAAACATTGGTCTTAAACAATGTTCCTTAAAAACACAACAAACTATTGAACAGAAATACACAAACTCTAACACCAAACAGAAGGCATACTATATCTATAATTTTTTTATTTTTTTTTTGTTTAATTCAAAACGATTTCCACAATGAAGCGAGTAATGTCGAGCTTGAAAATTGACCATCACATACAAATGTGAAGATAATATTACCGGTCTTCTTCGATATCGGAGATTTTCCCATGCTGAAAGTTCACGATCCCGTTAACCTTAAAAATTGGGGAAAAAAAAAAAGACAATCTCGTATGTTCTACAACCAGCAATTATAAAAAACAACGCGAAATTTACAACTGTTACATGTGAATTAAGAAAGAAAGCTGAAAAGATACTCACTGAGATTAATTTGGTTCAGAACCGACGAAATTGGCCATAGAAACCCCCATCTTCACAGGAGTCGTGCACAATTCACGATAGAAAGCCAATTAATGCGTCTGAAAACGTACACCGATTTTCCCACTGCTCTTAAATCAAAATTACAATATTGCCCTTCTACATAAACGTATGACCTCAATATTCTTCAACAATTACAGTTATGCCACCGCGTAATTATCACCAATTCAAGTCTGCTGGCTTCATCTACACCGTTTAAATGCGTGATCGTGTGGTACATATGCATTCTCATTTCTTTCATTGTCTTTTATTCTCATTTGAACCTATTTCTATATATATATATATACATATATAGTGTTGAGATCATATGAGAATGGTAGATAGTAAAAGAAATAAGAATAAATTTGTACCACTGGATCCAACATATCAATGGTCAAGATTAAGTCAAAATTAAAATATGCTATTAAATATGTGGTGGCAATTTCGTAACTAAGTGTACATTTTGTGGTCAAATGTACATATTTAACCTTAAATAAGGGCAAAGTGGTAATTACTCATATTCATTAACATCATTATGCGGGCCCCACCATCACCCCCAACAAACTTCTATTTTTCTCTCAAACACACACACACTTCACAGGAATTCGCCGGCGAGACATACAATTGCAGAGACGCCGACCGCCGCCGCACGTCGCCGACTGCTGTCGTCCGTCGCCCTCTCGCAGCATCTCGCTGTCTACCTCGCAATACGGATCTCTCGACGACAGATGAATCGGATTACCTACACCGTCGGCAGCGTCTCCTCCTCCGGTCAGCCTCGACCTCCCGGGGGACGTCAAACCTGATGTCTGCTGCCCCGAAAAAATAGGTCGACGGCGAAAGAACTGGTGGCTCCTGACTAAGGAAAAAACAGGTCAATGTCGGAATTAACGGGTGGCCTCGACGGCTGAAAAACTGGTTCGAGGCTGCCGTGTCGGCGTAGATCTGGCCATCCTTGTAGCGATCCGGCTGTAATATTTTCCACTGGTAGAGTCGAGCCTTCGTCTTCTCCGCCGTATCGCTGCATCCGACCTCCTCGCCGCCATCTCCGATCGATCCGTGTCTGGCGAGGAAAAAATAAATAAAAAAATTGCGTGAAGATGACGGAGCCGGGATAGTGCCTGTGAAGAGATGACGGTGGCTGCACTGGCGGCGCTGGACAAGCTTGATGGTGGCTGCAATTGAGGCTTTAATGTCAGGGCTGAGGAGATAGTTGGCATTGGGAGTTTATTCGAAAATTCAACAAGTATTAGGGGATTAATTTTGTGAATTTGATAACTAGTAGGGTCCAAGTTGTAATTTTGTAAATGTTAAATTATTTATAATTGAGTTAATGGGTCAAATTTTAATTAATTAAAAGATTATTAGAATTTTAATATTTTTATATTATATTGGCTGAAAATAAATGTTGTTTTTACATAAAAATAACCAACACCGAACCGAAATAGCTGAGTTTTTAAAAGTAACAACAACCACAACAACAACAATAATAATAATAATTGAGTCGAAATATAAAATTTCGAATAGAAAAATTTAGTTCGGTTGATTTTATTTGATATTGTGCAGTCATATAGTCATTATAGTGCAATACATATAACCATAATGTGCACTCACAATATATAAAAATATATAAATAATAATAATACTAATATTCATAAAGTTTGGTTATTTCACTTATTTTATAAAAGTAGAGGTGACTTCAAAACCAAAATAATTGAGTTTTTAAAGTAGAAAAATATAAAAATAATAATTGAATTGAAATACAAAATCTCGAACCAAAATTTTTAGTTTGGTTGATTTTTTTGATATTGTGCAATCATATAGGCATTAACGTCATTAACGTGCAATCTATAAGGTCATAATGTGCACTCGCAATACATAAAAATATATAAACCATAAGAATAATATTTTTCATATAGCTCGTTTATTTTGATTTTGATTGAAATAATCGAAATATATAAATTTTACATTATTGAAATAACTTTATTTTAGTTCAAATTATCAAAGTCAAAATAATTTAAATTTTAAAAATAACCCAAATATATAAATTCAGATAGAAAATTTATAGTTATTCCAGTCTCGATCACTAATGTGCGGTCTGTCACACATCAATGTGCAATGTGTCTAACACTAATGTGCGGTATTTCAGTTGTTATTGTGCGTCTGTACGGACCGAACTTTTGCCCAATTAAATTAAAGCCGATTTGAAATACATGTTTTATTTGGCCTGTTAACCAAATTACCGTAATTATTATAAATAATTTATTTTTTAAAATTCTAAAAAATATTTAATATTTGAATAATTCTATTTACTATTTATACATTAGTTTTACTGTAAATACATAATATATGAAATGCCAAAATTAATGACGAGTTTCAAGTACAATAATGTGCATTTAGTCTAGTAATATGGTCCAATCGATTACGCGGGTATTTTTTTTTGTGTATTTTAATTTTAGAATATTTTAATAACGTGTATTTTTAATCAGAACTATTGTGCACTTATTTATTTATTTATATACTAAAACTATATTTAGTATTTTTTAATTTAATAATTTATATTATTTTTTGTTGAAATAAACAATATATATATGATATAAAAATATATATTTTTCATATATGCCTGTCAATTATGTTATGTGTTTTATTTTTATTTTTTTTAAAATAAAGATGAAACTGGACAGAACAACCTAAAAATTTAGTATATGTGAAAAATGCACACTGTTGTAACAACGTGCATTATGCTATGCGTTAATGTGCATTTGGTCTAACACTGTTGTGCTTCCCGACAATAACTAACGTGCAGTGCAGTATTTTTTTTATGTACCTAAATAGTCAAATTTATTTATTATTTATGTTATAAAATTATATGTAGTATTTTAATAGTTTTTACTAAATATTTTTATATTATTTTTTGACTTAAAAAAATAATATATATATATATATATTTATAAAATATATATAAAAAAATTACAACTTTTATATATAGTTAAAAAATAATTGAAGTATAAAAAAAAAATTATGTGTTTATTAGAAATTATAGAATTGGCACAAGGTTTAAATTGAAGTATAACTAAATTATCTGAAATTGCAATTGACCCTTTAACCTTATCTAATTTACATCTTGGAGCCCCACAATTTCAAGCTACAGGACATGGCTGCTCTTCACATTTGAACTCCCTGCAGATGTGCCGTTTAGTTTCGTCCAGCGAGGAAGAGGCGGTGACAATTCGCAACACGTGGTCGGGAGAGGAGGCCGAGATCTGTGGCGCGCCGGCGAGCGATTAAATTGCAGGAGACTAAAATTGCGGACGTTCGGCGAGTGTGTTTCAGACGACAGCGGAGGCTGGACGTTGAGGACGTTCGGATTTCAGATGACGACGGAGACTGGAATTGCAGGAGGGGAGAGTTTCGATTCTTCCGGCGGCAACTTCCGATTCGATTTCAGGGAACGCCGTCGACTGGAGATAGTGGGTGGAGTGCGGCGTTGATTGAAGAGTCGGCCGGAGTTGTGATGCGGACGTGGTGGCGTCTGTGGACGGCGTTGGCGGCAGAGGCCGAGGTGTGTATGTGCTGTGTGTGCTCGTCTACGTCGTGGTGGAGAAGAAGCTGCAGGCTGGCCCGACGAGAGCGGCGGAGATTGGTGGTGCAGATGCCGACGCACAACCGTTTGGCCCTCGGAGGTGGCGGCTCGCCGGCGGCTGCTGTTCGCCGGCGACTGTGAGAAAAAAATTGGATGGGCTGAGAGAGATAGAGTGGAGATTAATGTCGGTTAATTAGATGTGGGGCTCACTGCTATAAATTGGGTGGGTTGGTGGTGTTATGACGTGGGGCCCACTAATAAATTATTTTGGTGAATTAGGATGTGTAAAATATTTATATTACCCTTATAGAGTATCAACATGTGATTTTTTGTTTTATCTATCTAATGGTCACGATATATTCTTACATCATTCTCATCGGAGCGCGACCCTATATATATATATATATATATATATATATATATATAGGGGTTGGATCCAATGAGACCACTCCTTAAAATGAGTATGTAAGACTCAATCTTAGCCACTCATTTTGTCTATATCAAGGATTTATGTTAATCAATTAAAATATATATTAATTAAATAAAAATAATTATTAGTTGACTCCGGCATTGACCGTTGACTTCCGACATTGACCCGTTGACCATAATATGTATTGTGTATGAAGCAGTGTTTTAAAACGCGCATCGCGCGTTGCGTCGCGTTTTGGTCCGTATATTGCGTAGCGTAAATAGCGTAGCGCATTGCGTAAGTTATTCGAGCAATTCACTTTTAATGCCAAAAATAATAATATATCACCAAACTCGCCTAAAGTCCTCGACTAAAATATCTAAAGTTCGAAAAATTATTTCTAGATCAATTCGATTCACTTTACCTTAAATAAAATAATTTATTTAGTTTTCTTAACTTAAATAAATTAAACCCACATCTACCCTCAATTATTTAAAAAAACATGGTCACTATCCTACCCACTTACACCATTAGCATAAAGTTTTCTTCTTTTTTTATTCTTTCTT